GCTATACATTGCACTCCTTCCTCTCAGCATTTCCATACGATTTTCTGAGTTTCTACTCCTTTCATTCTGCATTGGTTTAAACTTCAAACAAAGCAACTGTAAGTGTGATTTGCTACCGAACTTTGTGTTCGCTGAAACACTGGGGTTTGAAGTACCGCTACACCAGTGTGTGATTCGTTCTATCCTGGGAGGAAATAATCCATTACCTTGGGTACTAGGAGGGGATTAAATTCCTTAAGGAAACACTGTGAATTCAGTGGGCTCGAATTAATTACTGTTTCATTACGATACTTATATTTTTCAGAATTATTATTTACAAATACAGCAATATTGGCGGGACTAACATATTCTTGCACATATATATAGAACATTAAAATAGGCCTAGAATAAGAATGTGTACTTACAAGTGAGCACGGCGATTAAAGACGAGATTCGGTTTTTTCAGTCCCTGATTGGGTTTGGGTTCTGAATGGTGACCTTGAATTTGCCTTTTCCATTGTCCTGCTGACTTTCCTCAATATTTCTGGCTGATTGAGAAACAGATTCTCCACACATGAACACCTCAATCTTTTGCAGGGAACAACTATCACCAAACTCAGAAGGAATCTCAATGAGCTGCTTGCAATTTTGCAACACTATATGCTCAAGAGATGGGAAGGCATCATCTGATATATTCCAAAGTGTAATGTTCAAATTTCCCAATTTCAAGAACTTGAGTTTTGCAAACTCCTCATCACTGACATTCCACTCTCCTCCCTCAAAAGCCTCTGAGAGCAGTTTCAAAACCTCAAGGTTTGGTAATGCTGAAATTGCAGAAATTTCAACCCATGGCAGCTGAAACTTTGATAAGGTCAATTTCTTAAGGTTCGAGGGGAAGTTAAATTCACAAGGCAGAAGCACCCGGCCTTGATAAATCACATTGAGTGATTCAAGCTGATTCAAGAAATCCAAAACTGGAAATCGATAGCAAGATTCTCCTAACTTCTCAGAATGACCCCAAGATTCCAAAAATATGCATTTTAGTTTTTGAAGGGAAGGGTAACTTCTCATTATGTTCCCTGTGTCATAAGAAAGAGATGGGGTGGATAAGGTCTGCAAACAATCTAATTGGGACAAGTTGGAATCTGAGAAGGTAAAGTTATCTATATGTGCATGCCTCAGCCTCTTCATACTGAAAAATGTATCTGGTAAAGCTATCTCACCTTCTCTTCCTTTCACTAGGAAAGTTTCTAAGTTCCAGAGCTTGGAAATCCAAGAGGGAATGACCGTCATGTCACCTTGAAGTGACAAAAATCTCAAATGCACAAGCCTTTCTATTTCCGGATGAAAGGTATTGCCAATGTTGATGCACCCCAAGTCCAACACTCTAACATGATCGACGCCCCGAAATATACTTTTGGGAAGAGGACTTGGCCGACGGCGTTCAGAAGAATATATCTTTGTGCGGGTAAGGGGAATAAATGGGGTATCCAGAAAGAAAGCTTCAAACCGCGATGCCACTGGCAAGAACTTTTCGACTTTAGATTTGTCTTGACAGAAATGATATAGATAATTATGAATGCGACATGATTTCAGTCCGCCCTTTGAACTTCTTCTGGCCTCCATTACAAGGCTCCTCCCCATAAGATCATTCAGGTAATCTTCTGCTACCTCCTCTGGTTTCTTCACCTCATCTCTTCGTAAAAATCCTTCACTAACCCATAACCATGTTAGTTTTAAAACTGAAATTTCTGTACTCATTGGCAATGCTGCAAAATATAGAAAACATTGTCTTAGATAACCAGGCATATTTTTGTAGCTCAATTCTATTATTTCATTGCAGTCTCCTACATCACGATTAGTTTCTGAACTAAATGCCTCTTCAGTAATGGTTAGCCAATCGCTGTTGTCCTCTAAATTGACAAGAAACCCAGCTACCAAAACAATGGCCAGAGGTAGCCCTTGACATTTTACGGCAATTTCCTTCCCAACTTCAGCAGGACAGTTCTCATTTGGAATTGGGGGTTTGCGAAATTCTTCTTGAGTACAGAAGCGAAGGTGATTATACTTCACTTGTAATAGCTCCCAACTCTCTTCCGGAGTCAACAAGCGAACCAAAAGAGGTTCATCAAACAATGGATCCTCATATTTTCGGCCGCTGGTAACAAGAATTCTGCTTCCATTATGATTATCTGGAAAACACCTGTGCAACTCATCAAATATATGAGAATTCCACACTTCATCTAAAACGATGAGGTATCTTCCACTATGTAACTGTTTGCGTAAACGATCAAGATATTCTAGCCCCTTCCCCTCCTTTGACTTGTAAGTATCACTGCTCAGATCAACGATAGAAATTAAAATATCTTGGGCCAATTCACTCACCTTATGTCCAGGAGAAACAGAACACCATGCTTGAATATCAAAGTGATCTGAAATTCTTCTGTCATTGTAAATTCTTTTGGCGAGTGTTGTCTTACCAATCCCTGGCATGCCAAAGATAGGAATGGTTTTAAGCTCGGCCCCTCCACGAATTACCCGTACCATTAATATTTCTATCTGGTCCTCCAAGCCTACAACTGCTTCATCAATAGTTGGAGTGCTAGGTTTTGATGTTTGACAATCACTTGGGACGTCCTTTTTTCCCATGTAGATTTGCGAAAATTCAACAATTTTCTTGAAGTGCTTTATTTCTTCAGTGACATTGTCTAAATGATTGTTCCATATGGAAGAAGGATAAAGCACGAACTTATCAACAACACACTCAAATTTGACAAATAAATTGGTCATATGTTTGCAAACATCTAACACTTCCTTACGCTCTCCTTGTTGGTCAACATTTCCTTCGAGAAAAGGTCTGAAATTTTTAATATCAAACAGTACAACTTCAATCTGATGTGCTACCGGAGCAATTGAATCAATCCTATGATCCAACAATCTCAGCAAATTCTGTGATACCAAATCTATACATCCCAAACTATCAATCTGGGAAAAGGACAATGCTGGCTTTTGTTTCTCAATAGTACCCTTTAAGATCTTTGATGCCATAGGCTCCATCTTTTGCACCAAACGGGAAATAGCAAGATCAAATTCTTTGCCCAAATCTTCATTTGGTTCTCGGTTGTCTAATGAGTTAATGAATGACCAAAACTCATTGACTACAAGATCAAATATTGTCAAGCTTTCATTATGGATACCACAGCATAAGATATATATCAGCAGTAACCTGAGCGAAATTTGGAGTTTTTGAACAACATCGTTGTAGACAGGTAGATAGGACCAGGAATTGAGCTTAGTCATTGGTGCTTCTAGGATGAAATGAACAAAGACCACTGCAAAGACATCCAATTCCCTAGTGAACTCTATAGTTGTGTGTAAAAGTTTCAGACCTGCAACATAAGAACGGATATCTGATTTAGCATGTTGTATGCTCTCTAGCAGATCTATCATCATGAAACTAATGCAATCAGCCATATCCTCATCCAATTCATCTGCCAGACAAAGTAAAGCGATACAACATGATAATTTTTTTACCACAACTGTAAAATGATTACAGAGATTGTTGAACTCGTTGGAGTCAAAATTAGAGTTGTTTAGCATGAACGGAAGAAAACCTTTCAGAATTTTCAGAATTCCTTTGATAACTTCAAGTTTTTCCTTCACAGGAGCAACAAAATCTGCCTTGTAATTTAGCAAAAACTCTAGATTATCAACGAGGGATTCAATATATCTAGCCGGGATTTCATCAGCAGATGGAACAACACCAAATGCTCGGACGAACTTGGGAAGTAGTCTTAGAAATAAAATCATGTCTGGCTTGAGAAGCCAAATCTCTTGAAGTGTGTCATAAGTAACACGATCCTGTTCAGAGCTTCCAATATCACAAAGCAAGTGAAGGTCCCGACCGGCGTTTGTGATCAAAAGCTGGATACGATTCAAAAAATCTCTTACATCATTATCCTCATCCATGTGGATCCATGTACGGGCACTGCAAACAAGTGGTAACAGATATGTCAATTCCTTCCTAAGCATCTCTGTACAAACAGTCAAAGCCCCGTATTTTATAACTTCGTTTTCAATAAATTTGATAAGACCGACAAGATCTTGATACAAATCGTCCATGGCTTTGCAGATTAGAAATGCAGTAAGCAAATTGAAAAAAGTATGAAGGTCAAGGCTGAATGAGTACTCCAACAGCCCGAATTGTCAACCATTTCTCTAGTGTTAAAAAAAACTCCTAGGACCAAGTATGAAGCACATATAAAAATTGCCCACTGGTCCTTATTTTATTGATTTTGAAATTGAAGACACATTCTGCTGGGAAAAGTCAGTCTAGGTAGGGATTCTCTTAAACAAGAACAATAATTATATACAGACTACAGTGAAATGCAGCTGAACAAGTTGGCATCATCTGTTAATTTTGCAAAATTTAAGCTGGTAAAATAAAATATGGCTTTCTAAGGTGCTCTAACTTATGCCACCACACCAATTGCATTATGTTACTACTACTATTTGGAGCATTAGACTTGAAAAGAATCAATAAGCTCACCTTAGGTGCTGCTGTTACCACTGTTGAAGGAGAGAAAAAGCTTTGATGTATCAACTACTGCTTCTTCGTTCTCGATAAGTGGTTTAGATATTTTCGCTTATTTTAAATCAAACACTTAAATCTGTATACTATAGATATCTCACACAAATATAATGATAATAATGTTATCTCCATTTTTCTAATAAAAAATATTTAAAAACTCTTATATAACAAAAATCCTACACAAAGGAACGTTCATCTAATTTGAAACAGAACAATAAATAATCAAACAAAATAAACTCTGAAATTCATATATAATAAAATATTACAATAGCTTCCATGTTTAAAATGCAAAAAATATATTACTTTTAATATGTGGTTATTTCCTATTTAAGAAGTTTGAAAGATATACGTTTCAGAAAATATTTATCCTTTTTAAATTTCATAAAATTAATTGTGTAACAATTTGTTAATTGACATTTTAATTTTACTTTAATACTTAGTTACAAATTATATATCTCATATTTTTCAAAATTAAACGCTTAACATCCTATTAAAATGGAAACATTATCAAAGCTAATACTTCTGTGAGATTTCATATTACAGAGGGTGTAAGAGTTTGATTGTAAAATGCAGGTGGTGTATTTGCAATTGAATCATATTATAAGAGTGTTTAGCATATTTTAAAACTAATATTAACAAAAATCACACATTTTATTAAATTAAAGATCAGAAAAAGCTGAGTGGAATAATATTAGGTTCAAAGCAAGAAACACATATTAACTCAAGGACTAAAATAAGAATTTTCTCATTTTATATTATATATTATACTTTAATAGAAAAATTAACCTAAATAGCCACTCAATCAATAATCATGTTTCAGTCTTAGGACTTCTTGCACATTAGAAGATTCAATTGATACATAGGCACCTAATTTGGATTTCATTATTAAAAAAAAGATTCTTAACTAAGTGTATCTAAACCAAAGACAAAACATCATCACCATCCTTGATAGGCTTTGAACAGTAGAAGGAAAAGATTTTAGCTTCAGTGGAAAATATAAAAATCACCAGCTTTTGTTCGTTCCACGAGTGTTACCTACCACATTATCTCATCCTCTTATTGCAAGTGCAGAAGAGCATTTGCAAAGGTTGGAGTCAACTGAAGGTACCTCCCACATCTTCTCCCACCAATATGCCAGAGATTGGATGGTCTTAGAAGATCGTATGAGCGAGTAGACGACGTGCTCCAGTTGCCATTCAGCCAATAAGTTCTCTGCCATGAAAAGCATACCATGTGAGTGGAACAAGTCTCTAACAGGTCTCTCAACTTTCTGCTATTTCGTTACAGTTCTTATTTATCTGAGTTTTAATAGTCTATTGAGGCTAACATTTAATGTAAATGGCTCTTATTAGTTGCCAATACCAGTAGGATAAATAATTGTGTACTAATCAAAGATGCAAGCGCATTAAAATTCATAGGACAAATACCATATGTTTAACTCAAATGAATATTCTACTTAATTCTTTTTGATTTGCCATAAACCAATTAAGTTTAACGGGGTTAAAATTAGTCACTGGCCTTATTAGCCTCAATATAAGGCTTGGGTAGACTCTATTCTGTATTGTCACGACTCAACTAGCGGTTGTGCACATAGGAGGGCTTCACCCACATAGCAAGCCTTTGAATCTTTAAAAATTTCGACAAAATCTTGCCTGTAACTGAAACTAATTCCGTTTTTGTACCTGTCTCTATCATCCAAACTACATCACTCAACAATCCCAAGAGTCACATCATTCATTTCATGCGTAATAAGCAAGATGCTAGACTAGCAAACTATATATAACACAATCTCTTTTTTCCCCTTTTTTTAAACACAGTCTACAGCATTACAAAATTACAACCACCCATAAGATTCGTGGATCAATACAACTAAGAGTTTTCAATAACTGTGTAACTGAAACATAACAACAGAAAAAGAGGAAGTGAAACCAGCATCACCCATGGAAGGAAACGTGCGGCTCAGCACTAAAGTAGACTGGCTCTAGCTCAAGTCTCGGTATCGGAATCAACACTTGTATCTGTAGACATAAAAGTAAGGAATGAGTTCACTGACTCAACAAGTGATAGCTAACTCATAACGGGGTAAGAGTTTCAGAAAACACCATAATATGCAATATAAGTAACACGATAATCTTTAATAAACACATTGCAGTGGCGAAGTTTCAGTTTGCTAATTGTGTCTGATATCTCTGTTCAAGATTACTACTTGTAACAATTGAAACCACTCCCCCCTCCCCCCACCCCCCACCCCAAAATAAATAAATAAATAAATAAATAAATAAAGGATTAGTTAAAAAGAAAACCTTCAAAACAACATTCTAGAATTTAAAAGACAAATCTAGTCCACTTATAAAGATAGAAAAGAGAAAACGGCCAAAATTATTCTTGAACTATTGAAAATAGAATAATTATGCCCTCTGTTTGAATTTGGTCCCAAAAAAGTCCGTACCGCTAGCCCATTGGAACACTTATGCCCCTCAAAACTAACGGACTCCACATCCGCCTTTTCCTTCTCTTCCCCATATCTATGAAAATTGAATCTAAGAAAGAATAAAAGATTCTAATCAATCTCACCCTATACATCTTCACTCAGATTACTCTTCATCATCATATCTAAATCATCTTCTTTCCTGTACCCGCAGCCAAGTTTGCCATCAGTTCCATTCATTTAGTCCACTTTCAACTCCACACAGAAATTCTCTCAAGCACCTACTGTGCAACCACTTTTAAAGGCCACTCCTCCTATGATCACTCCTGGAAAACTTGGCTGCGAGTACAGAAAATCATTCAACAGAAATCCATAGTCATATTTGGGAATAAGCTCTTCAGTGCTCACAAAGATCACAAATTTCGCGTCTGGAAAATTGACAACGACACACCAAATTTTAATCCAACCAAGTTAAAGATACTGTACGAAAACTACTCCAAATATTGATCAACTGATTTAATTTAAAAAATGTGTTTATCAGAATAATATCCAGCCTTCAAATATTGAAACAAAACTTTAATAGCCTGTTTATAGTATATATACACCTGATTGAGCTCGGAAATAACTTTGGATATATCATCAGGAACGGAGCCACAAGCCTGCGTTTGAATATCATCACTATTCAACTGCTCCAGCAAATTCTTTAACTGTAATCAGACAAAAACATACGGAACAAAATAAGTTTTTGACATAATGTTAACAACTTTCAGTTAGGCATATTCACAAACAGTTTGAGAACCGTACGTTGGTCAAACTAATAAACAGATGAAAGTTCGAAAATGAGTCTTTTCGAATTTGAAAATTAAAGATGAATGAGTTGATGAATTAATTTACTAATGTCTTGGAGGGCGGATCCAGTATTTTGAAAGTTGCGGGCCACATTATATATATATATATATATATATACGCGCGCGCACACATAATATATCTACCACTAATCAGAAACACCGAATAGGAAGAATGTATGATTAGTTAATTTTTGGTTAATCTAATTAGCTGTTTTATTTTAAAAAAAATATAAATAAATTCGATTTTAGTTCAACTTTTTTATGCTTGATTTATTATTTTCTAGATAAAAGTACAATAAAAGTTATTTGATGAAAGTATGCATGCAATTAGAAAATTTTCTTAAAGAGTAGCTTAATTACTATATAATTTTTGTTTGATTTGATATATTGATCATTATTCTTGGGATAATTTTTTCAATTTAATTGTTGCGTTATATGACAATCATTTTTAAAGCTAAAATTTTAAAGTAATCAATCTATGAGAATCAATTTAAAACCTCTATTAATCATGACTTTTTCTTAAAAGCCAACAAATGATAGTGCTCAATTCATACTCCAATATATAAGTTAATGGTGTATCACTAGAAAGAGAGAAACTACATTTTACTTAGAATTTTAAAATTACGCATCGAAAGAAATTGCTTATGAAATAAGATATAATCTAAACCATGACACTCACATGCAATTTGTGTAATCTAGGTGTCACTTTAGGTATATAACTCATTTTTTTTATAGATATCAACATATTTATTAAGAATTTTTGCCGCGGGTGACGCGCCATTCCGATCCGACAAGGTAGATCCGCCGCTGGATGCTTTGCAGAAGTAGTAGTGCCCTTCGTCTTCAACAAATAATGCGATTGACTGACTGAGGCTTTGGATCATTTCTAAATAAGAGCAAATATAGGCCATTTTCTAAAGAGATATTTTACATAAATAGCACCTCGTATAAATTTTATATGAGGTACAGTTTAAAAAAATAAATTATTATTATATTTTCTTGATATTTGGTTTCCCCTTTTCCGTTCCCTCCTCACAATCCAACATTCTCTTCTTATTCAACTGCTAATCTATATAAATTTCCCCACTTTAATTCTTAATCAACTCCTAATGAAACTTACTAATCCACTCTTATTCTTCTTCCTTCACTCTCTCTATTTAGAAAAATTAATGATAATACAGCTAACTTTACAACAAATTCATGCCTATGACTGTAATTACATAGAAGTCAGGTTTAGTTTTAACTAAATTCTATTGATTACATGGATTTACATCAAGTAAATCTTCATTGAATCTTAGGCCTCATTTGTTTGCACCTAATGAAGGTCTGAATCTTAATTATTCAGATCTCAGACATTAAGTCGTTTATTTTTAAAGTTGAAATTTTAATTATTCAGATTTTAATCATTAAGTGTGTTTGTTTTTTTACTTCACAACTACTTAATGGGTCTGAATAAGTCTGTATGATTAAGATCTATAACAGAGACTTAATTTCATTAAAATGCTACCATCCACATTCATTATTAACTGCCGCCACCGCCAACCATTATCAACTACCACCATACTCAACCACCACCACCATCATCTTCAATCATAGCCACCATTATCGACTACCATCACCCACCATCCCCACCGCTCCCACCACCATCATTTTCAACCACAACCAACACCCATCCACCTCAAGTACCACAACTAATCATCACATCACCATCAACAATCATAGTCGGCACTGTCTATCATTATAAACTACCACTACCACCTTTCTCAATCACAACTACCACCACCACCCGCCATTACTAACTATCACCACCCACCACCACCATCCTCAATTATAATAGCCACCAATACCAATTACCACTAACTACTACCCTGAACCACCACCATCAACCAAAACTACCACCAACCGCCGCCTCTAATCGAGATTCGCAAGCACTACCGTTAGCCATCACCATCAGCAACTACCATAGAATATTAGATTGATTCGTATTTTAATTGAATTTTATGTTTATTAATTTTCAAATAAAGATAAATTGCATACATTCAGATGTTAAAAATCAAACAGTCTTAATCATTTAGTATTCGGATCTTAATATACATTTTAATATTCAGATATGTATTCAGATTCAGATGTCTTAATCTTATAAAAAATAAATGAGGCCTTAGTCTATTTAGGGGGTGTTCTAAGTAGGCGTTTGGACATAAAAATTATATTTGTTTTACAACTTATTTGGATGGTTGTTACCTATTGTATTGTATCATATTGTTACTTTAAATACGATGTTTGTTTTGATTGTTACTTAAATTTTATTATATCGGATCGTTAAATTTGTCGTTACGTAACGACGAAATGTGCCACTTTATGTAACGACCAATTTGGTGTGGTCGCGTCATTACCTTGTCTTTTTTCTCTAGTCTCACCCTTCATTACTATTAAATTATTTTATTTTATAATTTACCCTACCTTTTTATATAATAATTTTATCCCGTATCATAATTTTTTTTATAATATTGCAAGTTTATTTTTCATATTGTTAGTGCATGATATCATGAAACAACGCCAAACGATACAATCTATCCAAATATTGTATATATCAAACGATACAGTACAATACAATACAATACAATACAATACAATACAATACAATACGATATATTATGAAACGACCATCCAAACAAGCTGTTAAAAAAAAGTAGTATTTGGAGTTAAGTTGAAAAATGGTATTTGAAATTTGAAATTATGTTTGGACATGCATTTCACTTTAAAAAATATTGCAATTTTATGAGTGGGGAAAAAAAATTCTGAAATTTTTTGAAAAACTCATTTTCGATTTTTTTTTAAAATCTTGCAAAATTTCATGGACAAACACATATTTTAAAAAATAAATTGAAAAAAAGGAAAAAATTTATGGACAAAAAGGGGTGTTACACATATTCTATTTATATCTTACCAATACACGAGGGTATCATTTAGTCCAAAAAATAATCATTTGTAGCAAAAGTAAGGGAGCGAGTGTAATTTTCTTGTTAACCAAAAAGGGGAGAGAAATTTTCTTGTTCTTATTTTTTCATTACATAAAAGGATCGGTGAAAGAGTAATATTGAAAAATCAATTATACACTAGTGTGAGAGATTCCGCTAATATTATATTACTAGATTATAAGTTTTCGTAGGATTGAGAGGTATTCACTCCGCTAATATCACTACATTATAGTCTAGCGTTTGGCCGTAGATTCCCAATCGTTTTGAAAAATTTGTTTTGGGTGAAATTTGATTTGAAGATGAAAATGTGTTTGGACATTAGTTTTCAAAACATATTTTATTTTTTTATTTTTTTTAAAAAAAAACATGAAACATGACTTATAGCCATAAGTTCTAAAAACTATCACAAATACCCAACAATACCTTGATCAATAACACTCACTATCATTATCACAAACCATAATCCTGAACATAAATAAATTTGGTACAAAATTATCATTTTTATAATGAACTACATAATACACTATTAGATGACCGAGAAGACAAAACAACATTGTTACAAAATAATATGATTTTGGGAATTCGCCAAAATATGAATAAATTTTATGAACGAACATGTATTTGCCAAAAATAATTTGGCAAAAATTTGGTAAAATCTATGCCAAACGG